AGAGCTTTCACCAAACTGAATTTTACTGATTAAAAGCATTCCTATGTGACTTAAAAACAGAAAAGATATGGATGGTCAGAGTCTGTGCAAATATTTCTGTCATTGGAAATCAAGATATTTCCTGATGATCATGAAAACCGACAGAACTGGTGGGCACATTAATGTGACAGTAGAACCTCTCCTGGCACTACAGAGCTTCTTGAATATGCCACTGGGCAGTTTTTGTCAGAATCAATGATACCTTTTATTGCTTTCTCTTAGCTTCTGCTTTCATCACATGCTATCTTTTAAATTTTGAACTATATGGTTATGCTACCAGAGACCATGACTGAGGAAAGATGTTACATGTCCTTAGATCTAACTGTGCAGAATTACAGACATGTAAGCTATTAGAGTTTGAAGAAACTTTATCAGAAGAAATTGAGACCCAGAAAGAGAAAGTGATTGCTCAAAAGTACAAAAGGTCATACCAGTAGAACTGGGGCTAAAATCTAACTTTCAGGCCAATGTCTTTTGTGTATGGAGAGTCACATTGTTAGAGAAAGACAAAATTAGCCTTGTTTGTTTTTTTTAAATAAAAACTGATTTGTTCTAGTTATAAAATTAATATATGTATGTAGTAGAAAACTCAAGAACTACAAAAACATCTTAAGAAAAATAAGATAAAATAATTAAGATTTTTAGTATAAAGTTAATTTTTCTTGCAGTCTGTTTCTCTGCAAATACGTACACACATATACATATTTACATACATGCATGCATGCATACATACATGCATACATACATACATACATACATACAAATAAACATAGTACACCAGTTAGAGTTCTTGGTAAGAAATAGGAAAAATACTCAGCTTGGATTTTGAAGATAATTAAATGAAGGAACTATTTATAGATTTAAAGGAGCCAGTATGGCTTTATTTGACTTTATTTCCCTCCTTGCAGTATGGGGTGTTGGGACACCCACGGACTGGCAACTGTGGGTAGCGGGAAGGAAAAGTGTGTCGGAGCTTAGGGAGACCTAGAGCCATGGTCAAAGAATTAGCCATCCAAAATTGTAATCATAGAAAGTGTGGGCAAAGGATTAACTAACCCTTCTCCTTCAGCATGAGAATTTGAGCTGTCCTTACTCTCCTAATTGTTTCCCTGGCAACTGATGGAAGTTGGAATGTCAACAATGTTAAGAGGCAGCTTCACTTATGCTAAAAATGACCCCTGGAATGGGAGAATTATAAAGACCTGATGGGGAAGCCATACTGTGAGCTTCTCTAAATGCAGTGATTCCTGTGGCTGGGCATGTCCCTTGCTGGGACCTTGGATGCTGTGCCTATAAAGTCATTTCAGGAGATGATGCTCCTATGGGATATAAAGAAAGCTTTTAAACCAGGGTGGCTTCCTTGCCCCTGTGCCTGTACTATGACAACATGGATTGCAGCAAAAACTCCCAGTGAAGAGGAGAGGTACCTGACACTGCCTTGCTGTGTTTCCTGTCCTAAAGCCTTCTGAATAGACTGACTCCAAGTGTGGCCTCCGTCTTTGAGCGTAAATACGCAGTTGAATCCAAGGAAACCTTCCTGATGGGCACCTCAGGGATGCATCACTGCCAACACTATAATGCCAAAGCAGCAAGGGGCAGGGGAAATACTCCCAGCTTTCTCTTCTTTTACCCCAGTATCTTAATACTCCTCCCCTCACATTGACTAAACCCAGTCACAAGACAAGAGGTAGAGCAGAAAGAGTCTGATCATCCGAGCTTGCATCAGGTGCTTACCACAGTTTGTTTATCATTCTCTTGTTGATGGGCATTTGGGATATGCATAAAGCTGCTATGAATATTCATGTACAGAATGAATAATACATTTTCCTTTCTCTTGGATAGATTCAGAGGAGTGGAGTTGCTGGGTCACAGAATAGACAAATTTTAATTTTTAAAGAAATAGCCAGTTTTCCAAAGTGGTTGTACCATTTTATACTTCCCAACAACATATGAGAATTCCACACTTCTCCAGCACTTGGTGTTAAATTTTTTCATCTGGGCCATTCTAGGGCCTGCACAGTGATATCCTACTGTGATTTTAATTTGCATTTCCCTGATGTTGAAGACTTTTTCATGTATGTACTTATTTGTCATTCACGTATCTTCTTGTATGTAGTATCTGTTCAAGTTGCTTTAGAACTGGATTGTATTTTATTCTTATTTATTAAATTGCGTGAATTCCTTATATATACTAAATTCAAGTCCTTTTTCAGACTTGTGTGTTATATTTTCCTCTCAGTCTGTGGCTTGTCTATTAATGGTGTCTTTGCAAATTTTAAAAACATTGATGAAGTTTGATTTAAAAATTTTTTATGTCTTCTCTTTGCCTGCCCAAAGATTAAAAAAAAAATCATAGCTGTAGGTTATTAAAGTAATGTCCTTTAAAAAATAATTTTTCATTTAAAAATGAAATCCAGTTTGGATGTTTTTCAGATCACTATGTTCTATACACTGAATGTGTTCCCCAAAATACATATGTGGGAATGTCAACCCCAGTGTGATAGTATTGGGAGGTGAGGCCTTTGGGAGGTGAATAGGTCATGAAGGTGGAGCTCTCATGAATGGATTTGTTGTGCTTTATAAAGAAGGCCCACAGAGTTCCCTTGCCTCTTCTGTCATTGAGGACACAGCAAGGAGATGGCATCTAGGAATCAGGAAGTAGGCCTTCACCAGACACCAGTGCTATACAGCTTCAGGATATGGTTTGTGCTGGGATTCACAGTGGGAACGGTCATGGTGTCTGGCTGGGCAGTGACAGTGTGGTAAGTACAATGATGTGGAATGCTGGAGAGAATAGTTGCCCTTCCTGGGTATGTCAGGGAATACTTTATAGCAGATATATGTTTGTGCTGGGCTCCAAAAGAATAGGAGTTGCCATGAGGTGTGGAGGGAGGAGGTATGGAGTGGTGGAGAACTAGCAGTAGTGAATATTGCCGAGGCTTTGGGTCTGAGACGCAAGCAATGGGAAGATGAGACTGAAGAGATAGGCAGGACCAGCCACGAAGTGGTGAGGACTTTGCACGTTGCTCTGTGGCTTCTTTGCAAAAGGCGGAATGAATGAGCTACTACTTGAGCCCAGGTGAGAGGCTCAAGAAGTAGCTCAAGTCGATACTTCTCAAATTCTCAAGTGGTTGTGCTTCAAGTTGTCAATCCCCTGCCCTTACCTAGTGAATTAGAATCTCTGAATATTTTCACAGGGTCTGCGGGTGAGTCTGCAGCACAGTGGAGTTTGAAAACTACTGGTTCAAGTGGATAAGGAATAGACAGTGCAAAAGAGAGAAGGGCCTTGATTAAAGAGGTGTTAGAAAGTAAATGGTGACTATTCTTGATGACCAAATGTATGTAAGGAATGAAAATGTGAGAGGATTCTGACTTGGGTAACTTCAAAATTGACATCTATGCCAGTCACCTACATGACAACACAGTAAGATATCTCTGGGTAAAAAGATAGGAAGTTTAGTTATAAATATAGGACCAACCTACTTTCAAGAAATAACCTTTTATATTAGCTAGAAATAATATTAACTTTGGAAGAATATGGTTCTATCAGTTTAAATATTAATGATAATAACATACTTTCATTATATAATGCTTATTCTTTGAAAGGACATATTCAGCTCATATTTGTTACGCACTAAGATTAGTTGCATTCCTACTATGGACTTTTAGAATAGATCTTCTTTTTCTCCTCCTCCTCCTCCTCCTCCTTCATTATTATTACCATTAGTATTATTAATTATTTTGCAAATGGTGAAACTGAGGCTCAGAGAGGTTGCTTGGTTTCCCTAAGGCCATCTTAGGAACCAGGGAGAGTTAGGATTCAAAACTTGACTTTGCCAAGTCTAGGTCCCTTTTCACTATTACACAGCTGCCTCTCATAATGTGGATGAGCAGGGGTTTTTCTTATTATTTATATATGATGGACTTGAATCTACAGAAACTGTGATTTGCCCAAATTTCAAGCTGATAAGTACAGAAGGGACCAGAGCCCAGGTCACTGCTTCCTGACCACTGCTTTTTTCACTCTAACTTCCTGTTTCCCATATGATTTGACTTTATTTCCCTCCTTGCTTTATGTACAGTCGAGCCTTTCCTTTCTCAAATAGGAAAAGTTTAGAGAATTATAAATATCACTAAAGGCCTGGTGCATGAAATTCGTGTACGGAGGAAGGGGTCCCTCAGCCCGGCCTGCACTCTCTCTAATCAGGGACCCCTCGGGGGATGTCCGACTGCCTCTCGCAATCCAGGACCGCTGGCTCCTAACTGCTTCCCTGCCCGCCTGCCTGCCTGCCTGATTGCCCCTAACCCCTCTGCCTGCCTGCCTGATCGCCCCTAACCACCTCTACCTGCCTGATCTCCCCTAACGCGCTCTGCCTGCCTGCTTGATTGTTCCTAACTGCTCCCCTACCGGCCTGATTGCCTCTAATTGCTCCCCTGCTGGCCTGATCACCCCTAACCGCCTCTGCCTCGCCCCGCACCCAGGACCCAGGATTCCCTCCCTCTGGCTGGCCGCAGGCACCCAGGACCCAGGCTGGCTTTGCCAGGGCTGGCCGCAGCCACAGGCACCCGGGACTCTGGGGCGGGTAGCTTGTCCCTCTCCTGGGCCACAGGTATAGCCGCTGGTGTCCAGAACCACAGGGACCGTGGGGTGTGCGGCTTGTCCCTCTCCTGGGCTGCAGCCCCAGCCGCTGGTGCCCGGGACCGGGCGGGCGGCTTGTCCCTCTTCCGGGCCACAGCCTGGCTGGTCCGCATTCCTCTCTCCCCAGTGTTGAATGTCTGAGCCGTTAAGGCATGATGGCGTGAGGGTGTGATGGCCATTTGCATATTAGGTCTTTATTATATAGGATTTTAAGGGAAGAGATATTATTTGAGAAGCAAAGCCAACCTTCAAGGCTCAGTTGCTTTAGGTTGGTGTGTGAAGGTACATTTTCAGCCTGTGCATGAATTCTTTTTTAAATTAGGAACCTGACCTTAGTGATGATGAGAGAAATATGGAAATAACTCCAGGGGAAAAGGTACTTCGAAACACCAAAGAGCAACGGGATATGCAAAATCGGCTGAGAGAGATAGATGAAAAGTTGAGAAAGATGAAGGAAAATGTGGTAAGTTTTTTTGTTATTTAAAGTTAAATTGTAACCAATGATTATTTTTAAGAAGATTTCGGTTTTCTTTGACTGTTTAATGGGGGTATTTTTGGGTTAAACCTGCCAAGAGAACTGACATGGGAATTTGTCCGTAAAAATTTGAATGAAAGCTAATAATGATTTATAGAACTTAAAGGAGTATTATACTTAATTTATGTAACATAATAAATCTGTGAAATACTGAAGTCAGAATAATGATCCATATGCCTAATATTCTGTTTTACAGTGACATAAATATCTGTTTTGTATATGTGTGTGGAAAAATTTGGTATTGCTCTGCATAAAATTATATCTACATATTGAACTTATCACTTAAGTATTCCCACCTTTTTGTTAATAATTCATAAAATATTATTACTCATTTTTTTCTTTGAAAAATGTTTGTATTGATTTTAGAGAGGAAGGGGGAGGGAGAGAGAAACATTGATAAGAGAAGAACATCGATTGGCTGCCTCCTGCACACCCTATACTGGGGATTCAGTCCAATTGAACCCTCAACTCTCTGTGCATGGGATGACATTGCTCAACCAACTGAGCCACACTGGCCAGGGCATTACTCATTATTTTTTAATATATTCTAAATTCTTCTTGAGCTTATTTCATTTTTTAAATACGTAAAACATGCCATTTAAAGATATATAATTGCTGATGAGAGAAAGCTCTTAAATCAATTAAATTGTGAGCTCTTATTTAAAAATGCTCTATAATATTATGATTTTTTCAGCTACCCATAGGATGTTTCCAGTTGGATACTTGGCTTTTACCTCTAAAATTAAACATGACAAGGCTGAACTACCTACATCCTCTCTTCTAGAGCTGGTCTTGTCATAATTGCCAGCATTACCTACTTTCTGTCTCCTACTAAATCCTATTATCTTGGGTGATCTCCAAGCCCCATTAAGTTTTAACCAGTCTGTGTAATTTATCTTAAAATAGTTCCTTATGGCTCTTTGAAAATTTTTTCTGTCCTGACTTGTGTTACCCTCCTCTCAGCATTGCTACCTCCTGTGTAGCCACTAATAACCCCGTCACTCTCTTCTCTCATCCTCCGTTTTATATGCTGCTCCGTGGGAGTGCCACCAGGTCAGTGATTTTGGTTAAATTCTGATCTCCTCAGAGCTCTCCAAGAGTGTGCACCGATCCTGACTGAGATTCTTCGCCCCTCACGGTCACATCCTTCTGAACTGCTCTTAGCATTTGCCAGCCATGAACAGCAGCCCCCACCTGGAGCCTCAGGATATCCAGGTCTGCTAATGACAGCCAGGCAGCAGATCTGAAGGGAATAGATGCGTTGTGCTTTGCTTTATAATTCATTTTTATTTACTTTTATGGGAAATTTAGTGGGGATTATATTTCAGGGAGACCTCTGTTTTTATTTTCTGAGGAATTTTTTTCTCCTTTAGTCTGTAGATATGGGGAAGAAGTAGGAGAAGTAGGAATGGTTAAGAAGTGTAAAGGGCTTTTGGAAAATAGTTGTGGTGGTAATGGAGCATTTCAACTTGATGTGGCAAATAAAATGTTTGTGGTTTGACCTGCTTTGAAAACTGTTGGTTCTTCTCCTCCCACACCTGTCAATCTAAGATAGGCAAAGACTGCGTTTTCTATAATTCAGTTTTTCTGATTTCTGATCATTTATCTCATGCCTTGAACATGTATCTGTTCTTTTTTTTTTATCATATCCTATCATTATTTAATTTTTGACTCAAAACCTGGGTCCTTTAGGAATCTTGTATTTTATTCCAGTGGCTTCTGAAGGTTGGCTAGACTTGAGACATGATAAGTATCAAGAGGTCATTGTTGACTAAGTGGAGAAGAATAACATACGAATAGAGGAGAGCAATTATTGTGTACCCACTATGTGCCAGGCACTGTTCCAAGTATTTTACAATGTATTAACTTAACTAATCTTCACAACCACTCTAAGAGGTAAACACTATTACCTTCAATTTATAGGTGAGAAAATGGAGGCACAGAGAGGTTGATTAACTTCCTTAAGGTTATATAGCTAGTAAGTGTAAGAAAGGAATCAAATGATTAGCTTTTAACAACTGTGCTATACTACCTTTCTGATTTACTTTTCATGATTAATATTGTTTTTTTGATAATTAAAGTGTGATAAGTTTTTTTTATAACCAGTAATATTCATGGGAAAAATACTTGGAATCCCTCATATAAGTGATAATTTCAGTTTTGTATTTTATAGTCAACACTTTCAGAAACTGGTATCTAGTTGATAAAGGCACATGAGAGTTTATCTATATTTATATTGTCTTTATGTTTTAATTGTTTAGTGTTTCACAATATATATTGTGTACTGTGTGTGTACTTTTGAGGGAAGAGACTGTGTCTATTTCAAACTCTGCAAAGCCCATTGTTCCTCACAAGCTTCTAGATACTTGGTGGGTTGGGAATCTGGAGACCTGAGTCCTTGTTTCAGTGTCGTCAGTGCCCTGCTCTGTTACCTTAAATCCCTCACTCAGTCTCTTAGAGACTTGGCTTGTGACTGTGAAATTAGGGTTGGGCTAGTTCACCTTGTCCTTTTGCCTATGATTCTTGGAATACTTATTTTTGGTGAGAAATGGTGTTATTTATATAACCTAAACTCAATTTGTGTATTTCCTAAATATTTAGTAGTAGTTGGCTTAAATATTCTATTGAAAGTTATTTTTGGAAGTTTAATAGCACTTTTTATGAGAATGTGAGATATATATTCCTGCTATCTATAGACCGGAGAATATGCTTTCTGAATGATAGCTTCTGTAAATGGCTAATTTTATATTTTGTCTTAGTCTCTCTATTACAATAGAAAATTGTTTTAAATCACTAATTTGGGTAAAGAAGTAAATCTGTGGCCATTGAATTGGTGATTTAAGGATCAAATCCATATTAAGTCTTAGGGTTGGAAGAGGGAAAGGGTGAGCTAAGGGTCAATGTAGGAGCGTTGGGGTTGGGGGGTGGTTACTCTTGGAGCCACATGGATCCCAGTCTTGATTTGTCAGTAAAGGCTATAACAGTAGCCGAAACCGGTTTGGCTCAGTGGATAGAGCGTCGGCCTGCGGACTGAAGGGTCCCAGGTTCGATTCCGGTCAAGGGCATGTGCCTTGGTTGCGGGCATATCCCCAGTGGGGGATGTGCAGAAGGCAGCTGATCGATGTTTCTCTCTCATCGATGTTTCTAACTCTCTATCTCTCTCCCTTCCTCTCTGTAAAAAATCAATAAAATATATTTTTTAAAAAAGGCTATAACAGTAACTTAATTCAGTGTTTCAGATGGTGGGCTGAGGCTGTGGATGCACATTTGCCTTGGTTAAGATTGGTTACGTGGGATTTGAATTAGACTGAAGATGGTGGTGGTGGTATTGTTGGTATCAGTGGATCTAGCTAGTAGGAGCTGGGAGAAGTAGGCACGATGAAGTGAGGTGGGGGCTCACAAATGTAGTATGAAATTCAGTGGGCATGCAGGGGCCCTGAACACCAGCTTACATAAGTAGGGGAAGGATGAGCCATGTAGCTAGAAGCAGCAAATTGAAACAAATCTTTAGGATTCACTCAATATGAGTCAGCAATGTAATGTAGCTGCTACGCTACACATTCAGGGAGAGGTAAGCACAGTGGATCATATTTGGATAGTTGAATGACAAGGATGAGGATGAGATTTAACACAAGGTCATATGAAGGATTGTTGATGGGAATGAGTGTATTTAGCCTGGCAAAGAAGTGTGTGTGTGTGTGTGTGTGTGTTTGTTTGTCTGTGTCTGTGTTTTGTGGGGAAACAGGGATAGGATGGTTTGGTAGAAAAATCACACATGGTCACTTCCCAAAGAGATGTAAAGGATTATCATTTGAAGTATTTTGTTTTTTATAGTGTAGGGCAGTGGTTCTCAACCTTCCTAATGCCGCGACCCTTTAATACAGTTCTTCATGTTGTGGTGACCCCCAATTTCATTGTTACAAGTTGAACATAATTAAAGCATAGTGATTAATCACAAAAACAATATGTAATTATATATGTGTTTTCCGATGGTCTTAGGCGACCCCTGTGAAAGGGTCGTTCGACCCCCAAAGGGGTCGCGACCCACAGGTTGAGAACCGCTGGTGTAGGGGAAAATAATGGTGATTGGGAGGTCATAAAGAGACAGATATCAGACAAATATTAAGAAAGAAAGAATGATCTCAGCGGGAATGGTCTGTCTCAATCAAAGTTTTCAAATTAGACTGGAGTGACACTTTTATAGGTAGCTATAGAGAGGGTTTAAGTATCAAAAGGGTGATGGTTTAGGTCAGTTTCTTCAGCACAAGGAGGCTATTTGTATGTGGCAAGTATGTGGAGGTGCTGTGCTTTGTGCTCTTTTTCCCATGTCGGGGCAGGATTTGTGCTGAGCCACTCACCTCTTGCCTCATTGGTTCCCAGGGGGTTAGCAGTATTGGCGTTGACCATGGATAAGAATTCTTCTGTCAGGCTAACTGCTTGTATGGAGATGATTTGAGAAGGTAGAATCAAGAGAAAATGGAAACAGCCATACTCATAGAATAGGCAACACAAGGCAAACCCCACAGATAACCTCTCAATCACTTGCCATACAGTGGGCTCTGGTAACTCTAACCCCTGAGTTTCCTGTTGAGCTCAGAGAATTGCTTTCTGTTGTTTTGGGTGCTCCAAAGGCTTCTCTGCCCATTCAACCTTCAAACCCTGCTCTGCTTTATATTACCTCCCTGGGCTATAGTCCTGCCTATAAGTTCCGTAGATGGGATATAGCAGATACTGGAGCCAGACTACTTGGGTTTGAATCTCAACTCTGTACTTATGAGCTGTGTGACATTGGTCAGCTCTCCTGATCTCTCTGTGCTTCAGTTCCTTTATCTGTAGAATGAAGATAATTATAATTAACACTTACTTCATAGGCTGTTTTTTAAAAAAATATATTTTTATTGATTTCAGAGAGGAAGGAAGAGGGAGAG